TGATTGGACTGATGTTCGAGAAAATTATGAACCCAAAAATTTCATTTTCATTTTATATATATTTGTTAAAATTCATTAGTAGAAAAATGTCCGGTTTTTTTTATAAAAATCAGGCTTGTTTTATACAATAGGGAACTTAGACATTAAATTTAAAATGGAATAAATAATAAAACACAATTCATGACGCGATCGAAAACGTGTTTCTATGTGTCGTGACGTCACAAGACAGTAATAATCGGGTCGCGCCGCCGTCACGCCATGTGCTGCCGGTATCGACATTGTCAAATCTATCGTAAATGTAAACATAACAACATAACTATTCTATGAACATAACCATAATCTAAATCTACCTGCTTGAAGTTTGAAGTGCTCGTCACTGCCAACGGAATTTTGTTGTGGAGTGACGTCACACTAACTGGTCGTTTCAAATGGCGATGCTTCTAGCGTAACTTCAAATATTTATAAAAAATTAACGGCTGATTTTCAATGCTCGATATTTGGTATGACTAGTCTTTAGTGTAGTAGAACACATTTTTGAATTTAAAAAAAAAAATGTGCAAGTTCCCTATTGTCCTACTTTTAGACATTGTTCATCTAGCAACCCTACAATAGGGGCAACCCCGCTAAAATATTCTCAATATGATGGCATACTTCTAGTTATACAGGAAGGAGACGTCAACTTATTTTAAATGAAACATCCTATATATTATTTCATTTTTGGATTCTACTCAAGGATTTAGACAGATTCCGTGGAATGTCTTATACCTAAGTCTAAGCATTTTTGACATAGGTATCTAAGTTTTTAGGTAAAAAATTACGTTTGCAGGCTCCAAAATAATTATGAATTTTTCAAATAAATTTTCATTTATGTCTCAAGATTAATAGTAAATCTCGACGTTTCGTTTCTCGTTATAAAATGTTGAGGTTTCCATTTGAAACAACGTATTATCGGCAGTTTTCTAATATTTTTTTTTATCCTATTTTTTGAGCACCCCGTATTGATACCTAGTCAAAATATTATAAAAAATATATTGACGTCCTTGTCAACAAGGAATCCAACTCCAATCAAATAGCGAAAAGTTTTTTATAGGAAAAATTAATAATTCTTTTGGGGCCTGCAAACATAATTTTTGCCGCATTAAAACGTAAATATGTCAAAAATGCTTAGACTTAGGTATAAGACATTATACATGGAATTTGTCTAGAATCTTGAGTAGAATTCAAAACTGAAATAATATAGAGGGTGCCTCATTTAAAATAAGCAAGTTGACGTCTACTTCGGGTATAACCGAAAGTGCCACTATATTGAAAATATTTCAGCCGGGTTGCCTCTATTGACATTAGTATACTGTCAAAGTTTTAAAAAATTTCTGCATACAGTTTTTTATATACCTATAGATCGATTTGGTTCCCGGTGGAACAACCTACATCTCCCAATTTATTTAATTATTTTTAAAATTTGCTCGAAAAACTACGCCCCTGAGCCACTACTATAGAGTATTTTTTAGGGTACTCAGGTCACTCAGGATGCCAAAAAACATGGGAAATTGCAATTTAAATAAAAAAAGTCCCATATTTTACAATTTTATTAATATTAGCGAATTTAACAAAATTTTTCTTTAAAATTGGAAAATGGCCGCCATTTTGAAAATTTTATAGTTATAAAAAAATATGGTTTAAATTGGCTTCAACGATGTCAAATGAATATAAAATGACATATTACTTGCCCGCATTGGTTATTATTTAATTTATTTGCAAATTTAAGTCCCTTAGAGTATACTCCGCCCCTCAGCTGCTTCATAGGGGTATTTTTTTTTGGGTACTGCGGGCAAAATCTCTTAATTTGACCTATTAAAGGTATGTACCTACCAAGTTTCATGCTTTTAACACAATTTGCAGGGTTTTTTTGTTAACCGCTAGGACTATTTGCACAGTTTTAGAATTATGACCGGCATTTATCAAGGAAAACCCTGTCATTAAAAGCAATAGTTTCAACCTGAAATCAATAGAAATATTTAGTTTTTAAGACACAAACGTTTTTAATGCTTACATTTTTCAGTATTTTCGGTAGCGAGAAACGTCATTCGTCAGTCGAAAAGAAAGCCTAGTTGAATCGCTTCCGGAATGGAGACATCATTTAATCGGACGACCTTTTCGACTAATAACAGATCAACGCTCTGTTTCTTTTATGTTTGATGATAAGTATGCAGGAAAAATAAAAAATGATAAAATACAACGATGGCGGTTGGAATTGGCCTGTTACAAATATGACATTGTAGGTATATCGACCAGAAAGAGAAAACATAGAGACTGATGCTTTATCAAGGGTTTGTGCCGTTATAAATACTAAAGAGGAACAACAAAAACTGTTAAATCTGCACTATAGTTTATGTCATCCAGGTGTCACGAGAATTATTCATTGGGTTCGTGGCAAAAATATACCGTATTCAGTTGAGGATATAAGGAAAATGATTGCCAACTGTTCAGTCTGTTTACAAGTAAAGCCTCAATTTTTCAAAAATAAAGGAACACTAATAAAAGCAGCAGTTCCATTTGAAAGATTATCCATGGATTTTAAAGGACCATTACCAAGTTCGACAAACAATAAATTTATACTCACTATAATGGATGAATACTCTCGATTTCCTTTTGCTTTTCCCAGCCCTGATGTTTCAGCAGCTTCCGGCAAGAAGCACTTGACAAGTATTTTTCTACTACCGGCAAACACCCTGTATATTCTCACGTAATTTGAAATAGAATTTCAACTCCGAACTTAATTTACCATTATTATTGGGCCAACCTGATTCACAAAATTCTTTTACTTGATTGAGAACCTGATCATTATTGAGAGCTTTTTGAAAAACTATTTTACTTTCATCTGACAATGGAATATTATTTGATAAAGAATGAATCACAAATTCCAACTCTGGATCATCACAAACCTCATCTTTAATGAAAGATCTGGATAAGATATCTGCTACAAGCATATCTTTACCAGGCAAGTATGTGATTTCAATGTCATATTTTAAAAATCGAAGCCACATTCTCTGTAAACGGTTACTTACCCTTTGGAAAATATTGGTCTAAGAGACTTGTGATCAGTTTGAACAACAGCATGATGATCATAGACATAGTAATGAAACTTTTCCAACCAAAACACAATGGCTGAGAGCTCTTTCTCTACTTGAGCATATCTTTTCTCAGATTTTGTCAAAAATCGAGAAGCGAATGAAATGGGGTATCCATTAAGTAACAGGACACATCCAAGACCTTCACTAGATGAATTACACTGAATGGTTATTTCTGATCTTGAGTTGATTATCTTTTTCCTGTGGCCTTAAGGTACCTACATGCGAAATTTTTGTTTTCACAGACTCCAATTTTCTTTTTGACCAAACTCAAAATATTGTGGAGGCCTGTAGTCCATGCTTGAAATTGACAAAGTCCTACCTTGTATCATAAAAAAAAATTCTGTTTCCTTAGACCCATATGCAGTAAGCATGCTTGTTTTATGTTTCTCGAAAGTACGTGGCCACACCTGACACTATGTTTTATGTTTGTCGGTAGTGGGAACGTGTATAGAGACTTTTTCAAAGCTACCTATGCAAGGTGAAGCTTTGGTATTCCAAGGGTTTTTTGATAGTAATGATCTCTACTACGGACTTTTATGGATCCTAACAGTGACTCTTTTGCTTCACACAGTGACTCTTTTGCTACACACAGATCAGCTTCAGCTTGTTCCAATTTTGCTGTTAAAGCCTCCAACGTCAACTCAACAACTTCAAATTTAGTATCAACCATATTGGACTCCAGATGAAATGTTTCACTTTTCAACTAGAAGATTCACTTGACTGTGAGGAAACTTCACATGTTTTGAATTTTTTATGAAAACAAATATAATCATCATAGAATACTGTAAAACGAGGAAAAGGTAGAAGTACTAGGAGTATCATTAGACTTTCTATTGCAGATACAGTTCCAAGTCAATTTTTAAAATGAATCTCACCTATTTCTCATCTGCTTATTCCTAAGGATAAATGTTTGATCTGACTCAATTTCTTAGATAGTTGATATTGATAAACTGACGGAACTTGAAGTTACTTCAACCATTAAGCATCAGGCTCAATAATTTCTCAAGATATTTCGCATTTGGCTCAGATTGGTTCCCAAAAATTTGTATGGTCAAACTAATTACTACTAATTAACCCAATAAAATCCATCCTATCTCTCTCGCAGTTTCCCAGCGTCGATTGGCATGACGGCAGCGCCGCGACGCGACCTTTTTGATATGCAGATGGTAAATATGCGAGTTTGCGAAATCGTCGGATATTTCATATTTGTCAAGTTAATGTTTGGGTTGTTTATTACACATGCGACTGGCTGCCAGCGACCTAAACGAGATTTGGGCGAGGAAACGTGTCGGGAATTAACTGGCTCTATATGGAACATTCAGCTGCTGTATATAGCGTATTTGAACGCTACTGAAAAAGCCTCAGAAGCTTTCCTTCGACGTTGATATATAAACCGACCTTAATTACATTTTTTTTTTTGTTTTTATTAGATGGCTATTGCAGCATGTAAAATTGGCTTGATGATAGAAGGTTGACCACGTACTGAATTGAAAGATGGAAGTGTATGGGGTAAAAGCTGGACGTAGTATTAGGAACTTACTTAATGATTTTAAAAAAAGCAAACTTGTACACGATAAAAGTGGAACCGCTTTCAAATAATCCGCAATAAAATTAATCATCACATTTGTCTCCCTGTTAAATTTCGTCCTGATGCGACAACACAGACGTAAAATTTATATCACCTAGACAAAAGAATGAATTAAATACAAATGTTTCCAACATCCGTATAGCTCATTGTAGGTATCACAAAACACCTACATCAAAAGAAGGAAAAGCTTTACATTAATCATCAGGTAGATGATATGACGTTTTTGAAATTAACAGCGCCACCAAATTTGCTAATGGATCATATTGGATGGTTGGAGTATGGGAATTTGTTCATTAATATTTTATTTCAAAAATTAAATTTGTTCAGGTGACATTCATTATTTTTAAAGCATAATATACATGTTATACAAAGTGAGTAATTATTACTGATATATTATGATGTTATAATTAACTCATGTTATACATTAGATAATCATATATAAAACAGATACAAATCCTATATGGAATAATATCCAAAAATCTTGGAATATCCGAATACACTATCCACCTCGCAGCTGACATCATTCTGCCTCAAAATCTGACAAAATATTCCAGCACTAAAATCATTAGGCATATCATCATGTCCGAATGAAACGTGCTTCAATTTGGGAAAAGCATGGACCAAGTCTTCCGCTTCAATATTGCTGTTCTTCAAAACGTCCCAAGATATACCAAACCTTTCTAAATGATTTTTTTGGCTAGCCAATGAGCCAAGCTCGAGACGGTCTAGGTGATTTTCGTACAACCCCAACTGTTCCAATTTCGTCAGTTTTTTGAAAACTTTCCGTTCCAAATAAGGAATATGATTATAAGTTAAATCCAACTTCCTTAAGCTTTTCAAACTATCAAAAGCATCCTCAGACATACAGCTTATATTATTATCGCTCAAGCCCAACTCTTCCAAGTCCATACCTTTAAACCAATATTTGGTAATGCAGTCTCGCGTGAAGTTAGCTTCAGAAATATGAAGCGAACGTAAACGCCTGAAATTTTTGAATACCATAGGATCCACTTGGACATTTTTATTACCCATCAATAGAAGAGATTGTAATTTTGGTAGTTTCTGTTGCAGATCTTCGTTCAAGCTTGGCAAATGGGAACCCATTGATACAAGATGGGTTATTGGTATATTTGTGGTAATTTCTTCAATATTGGATCTCCACAATGTCAGTTTTTGTAGCTAGAAGGAAAAGTTGTATATTTTTTTTTTTTAAATTAATATCTATGTCTTTGAGTTAGTTACCTTTGGAAAATGTTTAAATGTTGCTGCATCAATAACACCTTTACAATCTGTCAAAATCAAATGCTCTACTTGGGCTTTGCTGATTTTTTTGTAGCCCTGAATATGTAATGGTTCATTCCTTAGCAGTTCAACGTTGAGGACAGTTACTTCTGAGGATATTTTAGAAATATGACCGGCATTTATCAAGGAAAATCCTGTCATTAAAAGCAATAGTTTCAACCTGAAATCAATAAAAATATTTAGTTTTTAAGACACAAACGTTTTTAATGCTTACATTTTTCCGCACTCAAAGTTTTAACTAGGTCTTTGTTTCAATTTCAAGCGTATTATTAAGACTGATGAAGATAAACATCCGTTCAACAATTTTTGTTTAGCAAAACAATAAATTCATTAGCTATTATCGCCACATGGCTTTAATGGGGCTAAACTATCATCTCTGTTTGTTTTCAGAAGTCAATTACGAGGGTTAAGGAATAAGTTCACATAATTTGTTATCATTAGAAAATTAGTTTATTCATTATATAGAAACTAGGTACATACTATTAGTCTGACTTTGAATATTTGTTATATTTGAAAAACTCTTATAACATATAGAATTTTATACTCTCTATGCTATTTTATCACAATAGGGTGCGTTAACAGGAATAATGAGTTTCCGTTCTATTCAAAAAAAAAGTGAAGTTTTTATAGGAACCGACCGAGCCTAGTAAATATATGCGTTTGCGTTCCTCTTTTCCTTTTTCAGTGTAGGATTTACTAGAATTTTTTTAGCTCTTTTGTTTTATTTACGATGGTCTATTTATATGGTAATCTTTTTCAACCCCCTCCTGCCTTTATCCCATTGAATTTTTTTTTGTGCTGTTGCCAAACAAAAGACTAAACTTTTTATTTGAAGTCTTAAAGGACATCTTTGAACACAATTTCAATGAATTCTTGTAAGAGAAATTACCAATAAGGGGCAACGTCCTACTGGGAGACCTGAACAACATCTCTCCTACCATTATTTTGGACATCATTGGAAAAATAGGAGGCGTGATTGAAGAAATATAAATAGGCATGAGCCACAATAGACCAATGAGTCGCAGTGGGATTATAGTAGCTAGGGATTGGAAATGCGTTATGCATGCCTAGAGCATTGGTGTTCGGGCGCCCTAGGGAGTGTGGGATTCGCACCCACTAAAACCCTGCCTTTACTCTTCCCGGGACCGCTAGGGGGATTTGACCTCTATGCCCCTTCACTCTCTTGTCGTTTCTCCTCTGTCTGTCACCTTTCGCTTGATTATTTTTCTCAACATTTCCAGAATTGCCTCTAGGTACTCTCTTCTCTCCATGAATAAATCTCCAACATTCTCTATACTTATTTCGGACCTGCACTTTTCCTTCCTAAGGTCTTCAGCCTCCGTGCACACGAAGATTGTTTGTGCGGGTGTTTCCTCTTTTCCGGAAACCCAGCATTCGTCCGTTTCCGCCTTTCTAATCTTCTTCAGGTGGGCCTCGAAGATACCGTGGCCTGTCATCGCTTGTGTTGCATCAGTTTCCCTTCCCTTCCCATTGATTCAGTCACGCACATCCTTGATGAAGTATGCCTTGCGAACCCATCATATGCTTCCCATCTTTCCTGTCAGTTGTTGAATAGCTGGTCCCTCGCGTCGCTTCTGCTTTCCTTCATTGTACATTTTGCATCTTCAGGCTAGGTCGATCGGTGGTAATCCTGACAGCACTTGCGTCGCAGCCATCGAGGCCGTTCTGTAGGCAGAGGTGATTCCTATCGTCAATCTTCTATTAACCCTTACTAAAGTGCTGAGGTGATATATATATTTTATCGCAGACTCTAATATCGGTGCAGCGTACGGTTTTGCAGAGGTCACTGCGCTAACTATAATCTTTCTCTTGTTGGTTTTTGGTCCTCCAACCTTTGGCATTATCCTCATAAGTAAGTTTAGCAACCTGTTGGCCTTTTCTGCTATTTTGTTGACATATATTGTCATCCGCAAGTCCTTGTCAAAATATACTCCTAAATAGATACCTACTTTACCGCCCTCTGGCTCTGTATTATGTTGTTATGGGCATAATGGGCATCTCCGTTTTTCTAGTTGCGACAGATATTTTCATTTCTGTGAGCCTTTCGGTCACCCTCGTGGCTGCGTACTGTACTTTGTCCTGTAATTTTGTTCTTGTTTTTGCTCTCACCACGATGCATATGCGATCAACTTTACGCCTTCCTCTGTTTCGATGCCTAGGATCTGGTCATAGAAAATGTTCGATAATAGAGGTCCTATGATGGATCCTTGGGGCATCCCGGCATGTATATCCAATAATATCATGACGCGGAAGTCGCGATTTTTCACCGCTTTGCTGTTGATGTCTACCCATATGTTTTTCACGCATTTGTAGGCGTCAATGGTCGATCTGCCTTTTCTGAAGCCGTACTAGTTTTCGCTTATCATGTTCTTCTCATGCGTTTCCTTCAGAAGTCTGTTTCGGATTAGTATTTCGCTGTAACTATCAGACAGAGGTGCCTGTAAGTCTTTGGGTCGTTTATTTCCTTTCTTGGCTTTTCTACCAGTACCAGTCGGGTAGCTTTTCACATCTTTGGGAAGACTCCACTGCTTAGGCATCCATTGTATACCTGTATAAAGGACTCAGGGTTTCCTTCTACGAATATATTAAGGACTTCTGGCCTGATGTTGTCTGTTCCCGGGGCTTTCTTCGGTTTTATTTGATCGGTGGCAACCTTAAGTTCGTCCTCTTTAAATTTGTCTACCGCGTTACTAGTTATCTCGACTCTGATAACTGGTGTTTTGGAGCATTTTGGGAACAGTTTTTGGACTTGTCGATCTATGTTCTTTTCATCAATTTGGCATCGTTTTTTGAATTTAAAACTGTTTGTTACAATCTGGTAAGCCTTGCCCCAGATGTTTTCCTCCAATTCCTTGCAATCCTTCTTCCATTTTTGTTTCTTGTTCCCTCTTCAGTTGCCTTTTGGCCTCCCTATATTTCTCTCTCCGTTCTTCCAGTATGTTCTTATTGTTGGTTTGTCCTCGCACCCTTGTAAGCTCTCTTCTCCGCCTGTTGCACTCTTTGTTGATTCCACCAGTAAACTGGTTTGTGCTTGTCCGTTCTTGTTCCTGCTTGGGTAAAGCGCTTATTGCACGCCCTTGTGATTTTCTTCTTCAAATGCCTATCCGTTCCGGATGTTGGCTATTCTTACTTTGTTGATGGCGATTCGGAAAAGTTCTACTGTTGATTTGTCAAACCATGTTCTAAGATTTACTAGCCAAGATATCCTCCTTCGGCCAGGTGCTCTCCTGCTATTAATTTTGCCCTGTAGGATTTCCTGTAGCAACCTGTATCTATTTGGGTTCCTCATTATGTGGCCGAAATACTGAAGTTTCCGACGTTTTATGGTATCTAACAATTCTAGTTCTTTATTCATCCGACGCATTACTTCTATGTTGGTAATTTTTTGTGTCCAAGTTATTTTCAGTATTCTCCTGTATAGCCAGAGTTCGAACGCTTCAATTCTCCTGGTTGTCTCTTTAGTGAGTGTCCAAGTTTCTACGCCATACAGAAGGACCGAGAAAACGTAACAACGCAAGAGTCTCAGCTTCATGTCCAAGGATAAATTATGGCTTTTGAAAAGCGAGCTCGTTTTAATAAACACAGAGCGGGCCTTTTCGATGCGACATCGTATTTCTTGAGAGTTGTCCCATCCCATCTCTCGTTAATAATTGTCCCCAAGTATGTGTACTGCCTTACTCTTTGTATTCTACTGTGATTGATGTATAAACTGTCTTCCGTGATGCTTCTTTTACTTACTATGAGGAGTTTGGTTTTGTTTATGTTCATTTCTAACCCGTTCTGTGAGCTAATTCTGGTCACCCTATCCATCAAACTTTGTAATCCTTGAAGATTATCTGCAAACATGATCGTGTCATCTGCATATCTTATGTTATTAAGTTTAGTACCATTTATGGTGATTCCTTCCTCAATGTTGTCTAGTGCTTCTCGAAAGATGTATTCTGAGTACACGTTAAATAAGATGGGCGACAAAACACAGCCTTGCTTCACTCCTCGTAGTATATTTATTTGTTCTGTGTGACTGTCATCAATTCTCAAAACTGCCGTCTGGTTCCAATATACCTTAGTTTATAATTATGTTTAAATCTTTTTGATTCATTCCTATTTGCTTCAGTATGTCGACAATTTTATCGTATTGGACTCGGTCAAATGCTTTTTGTAATCGATTAAGCAAGCATATACATCACTGCTGACATCCCTACATCTCTGAAACAACACCTGAACACCAAATAGAGCCTCTCTTGTACCGACGGAGTTCACAAACCCAAACTGGTTCGGTGAAATCTGTTCTTCACAAAGTCTATATATTCTTTTGTGTGTTATCTTGAGAAATAGCTTCGAGAGATGACTCATCAAACTTATTGTTCTAAAATCACCGCAGGTTTTGGCACTTGCTTTTTTCGGCAGTGTGATAAATTCTGACCTTAACCAATCCGCAGGAATTTCTCCTTTAAGTAGATGTTGTTGAATATTCTGGTCAGCCATTTGATTTTATCCTCGTTCAGTAACTTTAGGAATTCAGTCTGTATTTGATCCAGACCAGCTGCTTTCCGTGGCTTCATTTCCGAAATGGCGGCTCTCACTTCGTCCACAAGAATTTCCGGTCCCTGTTCCACAGTTGGTTTTTGTTCTTTGCGTACATCATGGAATAGATTTTGTAGATATGTTTTTCAGGCCTCCTTCTTTTTCTACGCGTCAATGATGATTTATCTTGCTTTGTTGACCGAAGGTTTACAATTGTTCTTGTGGCCTTTCCTTGTTACTTCTCGGACTTTCCTGTAAACATTGAAGTCTTCGTGCATGTTTTGATGGTGTTCGATCTCGCGACATTTTTCTTGTAGTTCTTTTTTTTTCGCTTTCCTTATTTCCTGTTTTATAATGCATTGTGAACGTTTATATTCCATTGGATTTCCTTAATTTTGTCTTCTTTCTTACATCAAGTTTAATATTTCTGTCGTCATCCAAGATTTTCTCTTTATTTTGTCCGGTTTCAATATTTCCTTCTTTTTTGTTCCTACTGCTTGCTTTAATTTGTTGAGTTCCATATCGACGTTGTTGTTTTTATTTGGGGTTTTGAGTCTCTGAAGGTCATAGTTTGGAGTCATCTTAGTGTTGACCTTCTTCATTTTCACCTTAAATGCACCAACCACAGGACAGTGATCTGATCCAATGTCAGCTCCTAGATATGTTTTGAGGGATAGGCAGCTATTTCTAAACCTCTTATTGACTAACATAAAGTCAATTTGGTTTCTGACTATTCTTCCCGGTTCATCCATAGGTGCTTTACACGTATATAATCTTCTTGGCGGCAGTTTGAACTAAGTGTTCATCACTAAGAGTTCCTTTA